CGGGCCCCACGGCGGGTCTCAGGGCGGGCCCCACGGCGGGTCTCAGGGCGGGCCCCACGGTCCTCCGCGGTCAGCTCCAGCGGCGCGGCGCGCAGCTCCAAGCCGAGGCAGAGCGCTCCAGGGACGGCAGGGACCCCCGCGGGCCTCCGGGCGCCCTGCTGGAGCTCCGGTTGGGGCCCCCCGGCGGCGCGCCGGACAGGTGCGCCCCGGAGCATGCGCAGAAGCGGCGGCGGCTGGCCGCCAACGCGCGCGAGAGGAGGAGGATGCTGGGCCTGAACGTGGCCTTCGACCGGCTCCGGAGCGTCATCCCGAACCTGGAGAGCCACAAGAAGCTGTCCAAGTCCGAGACCCTGCAGCTGGCCCAGATCTACATCAGCACCCTGAGCGAGCTGCTGCAGGACGGGCCGGAGCGGCTCCAGAACCGGACCGAACCGCGCGGGGGCCCGAGAGGAGCAGATGACCAGAACCGGACCCTTACACTCTTTAGTTAAATAAAAAGAGCTTCAGGTAAAAAGCTGGGTTTTATTTTTTATTCATGAAAACTTGAATAAAAACTTTGTTCACAAAGAAGCGAGTCAGAGTTACTGAAAGTAGGAACTTTATTACTTTAAAAATATTTACACAAAAACACATCGGTACAAAGTTCTGCAGAACCTCTGTCCATCGGTCCAAACGGGAGGAACACGCTTCAGAAGGACAAAATAGAGTCCGATTCAGAAAAGTAGAGTCTAACGTCTAAAATTAAATTTACCCCCCCCCCCCCCCATCAGTACTCTCCTCCTACAGAGTAATCAGAGTATTTACAGGAACTATTTACACAAAGCTCTTCATTCCATCTGCAGGGACAAAAACTTCTGTAAACTCAGGACAGGGGGGGAGTGTGTGTGTGTGTGTGTGTGTGTGTGTGTGTGTGTGTGTGTGTGTGAGATCCAGCAGGACTTTCTTTGGGGCTGAAATGAAAAAGGAACAAACTATAGTTTTAATTTCAGTTTTTGCTCCGAGCATCAGAAATATTTTATTTATTTTCCGACTCACACCTCCTTAAGACGATGTCGGCTCGTGGAGATGAACAGGTTCTGGTTGCCACGGCGACCGGTCCATTTATTTTCATCAGTTCATTAAGAACTCACTGAAAACTGAAGCAATGGAGCGGAACAGGAAGTACAAGGATTTTCAGAATAAGGTTAATTTCTGTGGTGTGAAACGTGTTGAAACAACTTTGAGTTTCACGTCTGGGCCCAGTGGATCCTGGTCCGGGGTCTTGGGAGGAATTTAAAAGTTTTTGGCACCTCAGAGGTGGTTTATGTAAAACCAGGAACTGAACACAATTAACTGAAAGCCTGGAAGGTTAAAAAACAAGTTTCTGTAATAAAAACAACAGAACCAGGAGGTGAGGATCAGAACCAGGAGGTGAGGATCAGAACCAGGAGGTGAGGACAAAGTGATCATTTCAACGGTCCAGCTGTTCTGAACTTTCAAGATGGGCTGAACTTAACAGAGTCTTCAATCTGTTAATGATGGGTTCATCAGGGAGGAGGTCCAGCAGGACCAGGGAGGAGGTCTGCTAGGACCAGGGTGAAGGTCCAGCAGGACAAACGTTCTGAGAAATACTGAAAATAAAAAACTGAACCTTTGGATCAGATCCATCCAAAACTGATGGAAGCGTCCTTTAACGGGCTGAGGAGGTTGTGGTGTGTGTGTGTGTGTGTGTGTGTGTGTCTAGCAGTGCTCCAGGTAGTCGATGATCCTGGAGATGGACTTCTGTCCCGTGGTTCCGACGTCACACTGCAGACAGAGACGCACATTAGTTTAAATTCACCTGAAAACTAAAAGAACTACAGCAGTCCCTCGCTGCACTTCCTCTTCCTCTTCCTCGGACTCGATCTTTCAACGAATGTCAACTTTAACATTGCTCATGTGATTTGAACGGAACAAGATAAAAAAATAATGAAAATAATACTTTAGACAGGCGCCGTCATTTTCCAGTTTTCTTCCAATAAGCCTACACTTTAACGCCAGTCAAAAGAACTACGCTACCCAGAAGTCAACAGTGCATCCAGCTGCTGCTTGCTGCCAAACGCAGGGAAAGTTTTCAACTCAAATCTACACCAACTATGAATCTCACCGAACTGGCAGGAAAGTCTGAAATAACCCCGAAGCTTCCTGAAGCTCAATTATTCACGTGCACATCAACCTGCACGGGGCGGTGGGCTTCGTCTGCAGGTGAGTTCTGCAGAACCGAACCAGAACCGAGCTGCTGCTCTGCACAGCTGGACAGTAACATGTTGCAGTACTGTACATACACACGTTGCAGGAGTGGGAAGGTTTTTAAAGCCTTCAAATATAAATACTCAAATAAATACAACGACCCTACTTTGTTGTTGTTCACATATCGCAGGAGGAGGGGGGAGGGGGTGGATCGTGACCCCCACAATAATCAAGGGACTACTGTAATGAGTTTATTAATTAATTTATCTATTCACAACTTAGTGTATGAACTAATGAGTTTATTAATTATTTAATTAATGACTTTGTTTAT